AATGACAGTAGGATACCAGGATATAGCACTAAATATTTGCTACATTAAGTAAACTCAAACTTTATGGGCTGTCATTATGATGTATCATAATTAAATTACTTTGTAAACAAAATGGAAGAAGCGTATGAGCATGTACTGTTAGCATTTCAATAGTTCTACCAATTATTTAATGTATATAATTAATATATATTAAATATATAAATATATAATTATGATTATATATTATAAATAATATTATAAATAATAGATATAAAATCATATTTTTACAAAGCCTAGTGCACAAAGACACTAAATAGGAGAATATAATGCTAGTAGAAAATTAACTGACAAGCTTATTTTAATATATTTGAATATACTCATCTTTGAAATTTTTATTTTTTAATCCAAAACACATTATATGTTTTGCATTTTACATGTAGAACTTTGACAACATATACTTAAAGATATAAGAGAGGCAAGAAGGGATGTTGGGAAGAGACCTGGCTTGGAGACTAAAGACCATCAATCCTCTTGAGGCTTCCCCTCTTATTTCTGGAAATCCTTAGGGAGCTAATTTCATCAGTGGGAACTTCAGTCTCCCCATTGACAGAATGGGTATAACCATGCCTTCTTTTTCTATTCAAAAATTTTTGTGAGACTAAAATAAAATAACTTTTTAAATGATATAAAAATATAAAATACTATACATATTGAAGGAGTTAAAGAATGAATCAAAATAAAGGTGACGGAAAACAAACTTTTAATTTCATTTTATGTGATGATAGTAACTGAATTATATAATGAGTTAAAATCTCAATTTGCACTCTGATCACTTAAGGATTTTTAAAAGAAATGACTTTTCCTTTAGTTTAATTAAAATCCATCAGCAAATTAATTGTATCATTGTCATGCTAAAAGTTAGATTAGATTATTAAAACAGTTTTTATTGAACAGAGAAAAATATTCTTCCAGAATTTATTCTCTTCTTTCATTTTCCTTTCCACCTATTTACCCAAATCTACACATTCAAGAGAGCAGGTGTACAAAAATCATTCTTTCAGATTTGGGCTGGAAACAAAAGTTATAGCCACTGATGTTCTTTGTCTTAATATGTATTATATTAATCCAATGCTTAACACATTAGAGACAATTAAAAGGGCACTTTAAATCCTTGAACAGTTGAGGATTTTTAGATTGAAAAAAGATAATAGGTACATTTATAATTTCTGGCAAGCCACTCCTCAAATTCCAACAGTAATTGAAAAACACTCTTTTTCCCATGTTTTGGTGCTGTTTGATAACGAGAATGCAGTCTTTCCCCAGATGTAACTGAATATCAAAAGACACTTTCAATCTCAAATAGCTTTCTCTATCTGATAAACTTTTATTTTACAATGAACCTTGCACAGAGAATAAATCTTGAGGGACCATGGCACATAGGTCATTTGATGTTTTCTGCTAACAAAAGATGACCACATTTTAGAGACGATGCCTTCGTGAAGAACTTCTATTGAAAAATAACACCATTTCAAATATGATTAATTTGAACATTGCAAGCCAGTTTGGAACATCAAGACATCTTACCTAGTTTTCTTCTTTCTGGATACTGAATGATCAATAAAGTCGCCAAATAACAGAACTCTGCTCAGACAATGACATGTAATTTGGAATGTTGTAATATAAAGTCAATCCAATTAAATGTTCCAAAATATTTTATTTTCCCCAAAGGTAAAATGTATATATGTCTTTGATGAAAAATGTATTTTTACAGCATACTCTTTCTTCCCTTCCCAATTCCCAGTGATGTTGAATCAACTCCACTGAATGTAGAGAGAGACGGACGATATGAGAATTGCACCTTTACTATACACACACAAAAGTAATTTTCGAAGAATGCAGTTAAAATAAAACAAACAAGGGCTCCTTTGCCTTTGAACATTGGTAACTGTATGTTGACATGAACGCACGTTGACACAGGCCTTAAAATCCTGTGTGTGGGCAGAGGGGGTCTGCTGAGGGGGCTGCCTTCTCAAAATATTTAAACTTGAGCCACTATACCAATCCCACAAAGCAAAATAAAATAAAATAAAATAAAATAAATAAAATAAAATAAAATAAAGAGGGGAGAAGGGAATAAAAATAAGAAAATTTCACCGAAAATATAAAAGGAATGACCCAGGGGAAGAGAATATAGCAGAAAGGATGGGATGCAGAGAAACAGTGTCAGGAGTGTGTCAGTGAAAAATTCAGAAAGGTTGGAAATACTCCCCAAAGTACAATATTTGAATCTCTAGCCACAACCAAAGGAAAACAGACATTTGCAGGCATCATAAAAATATATAACAAATTGAAGGAATTCCACTAAAAGTCTTGTGTGAAATAAAACAGCAAAAGACACAGAAAGGAAGAAACCTTGATGAAGAAAATTTGGCAAGTCTAAGCAAGTTTAAAGTAGAGTGGCTGGCTTTTCTTTCCCCTTAGCTTCTTTGAGGTCAATGAAAGATAGCACAATCCAACGTGGCTAATAGGGAGGAGGATGTAAAAGGGGGAAATGAGTGGACAAATTAGCAGGATAATTAATGCAGGGGAAAGAGGCGGGGGATAGCTGACTTAGAGGAGGAAAAAGAAGCGAGATAGAGCTACTTGTTAGTGCCTAATGGGAGGAAAAAGATGAGATTAAGAGGCTCTAACTGGTTGTAGAAAGAAGGCTGAGTAAACTGTTACATGATGTAGGGTTCAGAGATGATGCAAGGATGTGTGTAGAAAATGGGGTGAGGTGAAGATGAATGTGCTTGCAAGTTGCTGAAGGAGTGGGGGTCTCCCCTGGATAAAGAGAGTTTACTCCATAGATGGAAGATGGGGAATTTTTCGAAGGCTGGATGGGGAAAGTGAGATGGTAAAAAGATCTAAGTGGATAGATGATGATGCCTAAAGAGAAACGTTCTTCCCCAAAGTAGCCTTCCTTTCTTCCTTAGTTATACTAATTAGCTTTAGGCCCTATTCATTCATTTGTCCTCTTTTCTGAATGTTACATTATCTTCTTAACATATTTCCCTCCACTCTCTACTGTAATACATCAATGTATTCAATTCTTCATTTAAATGCAAACAACAATAACATTTCTACTGTATGCTATCTATTGCCCAATTTTCTCAGGCTATTTTATTGTTGTTACTTTAATAAATTTGCTGGAAAAAATCGTCAAAGGTGTTTTAGGTCTACAAAACACACATATACCTCTAAACTTTGTAACAAGACATCAAGCCCTCATGCCCTCCCTTACTTATTCTGTGTGGGGAATGACCTTCCAGATATATTTCTTGGCTAGCCACTGACCAGGAATGACTATTTTTAAAACCACAGACCTCTCCCTCCTTTATGAACCTCTTCTCGACCTCTTAACAAAAATGAATTCCTCCCCCCATTATGCTCAATTACACTATTTATCACATTGTATCCTAGATCTATAAGAGTGTCATGGCTCAAAGAGGCCCATGCCATGTTTGTCATACTCTCTTTTGTATTCCTAGAACCTAGCACATTGTCTGGCACAGTAGGTGACTAATTAAAGTTTGTGGATTCTTCAGTGAATAAATACAGGGATGACACCTCCTTTAAAATGTGAAGCAAGATTCTTGCAGAGAATTAGCTTTCAAAATTTCATTCCCTGTATAATTCTTTCCCACTAAGAAAACGTGGCTGCCATACATATTTTTTTCAATGTAGCTCAAAGCCAGTGGCTTATATAAACTCTCCTTGTCGATGTCCCTCCCCTTTCTCCACCAAGAATCTTATGAATCCCAGCTAAAGGCTGTTGTGGACTGCTTGCGCAGAGAAAAAGAATTTTCTGCTTTCTGAATCTTTTAACCAGATTTCTTCCCTGCCACCAGCAGTCTGGAAGCTCTCTATCAAGAATTTCTATCTTGCAAAAAATATAAAGTTTTGAACACCAAGAGAAGGAAGAATGTGAAACCTGCAATCCCTTTTGCCAGGGCTTTCAGCTGCTGAAATCCAGCATTACCTGGGCGTCCTTCAGAATCCATTCCGGCGACTAAAAGGCCAGGGAGTCAGGGGAAGGGGCAGGGAGTGGGGGTGCATAGTTTATTTCAACCCTTAGTAAATGATTGAGCTCTGGAAAATGAGTGTGTTTTATGCTTGGTCGGAGTTTCTTTCCCATTCCTGTATTTCAGACGCACGGCAACTTTAAGTTTACTGCCAGCTATACGTCATGAAAGGGAAGCTTTTCATCAAAGGGAAGAAGAAAAGGAAGGAGGAAAAATCCTACTTTTACAAAACAGAGTAATTCTTTGCTTCTGTTCCCTTTCCCCACATCTCTCACCTGCGTCCAAACCAAAACACAGTAGGTAAGCAGTTTGTTGCGAAACCGCTTGAAGGTTTTTTTTTTTTTTTTTTTTTTTTTTTGGAAGTTATTTCTGCTCCGGGCGCTAGTTGCCTCTACACGCCCTGCCTCTGCCCCTCCCTCTTGCCCTGTGCAACCTTCCCCAACTGCATGCTGCGGCCCTTCTACCAAAGCTAAAGAAGGAATTGTCCGCAATCAGGAAAATAGATTAGCCTCAAATTTGGCAAAGCAGGGGCTTGCTCCTTAAGACTAGAAGAGCAAGCTCGGAAGGGAAGCCGCAGCGGGCTTCCGTCTTAAAGAAACCTATTCCTGCATCATCCCAATTTGGAGCGCGTGTCTCTAAATAAAGAGCACGGTGGTCTTTCCCCCATGGCAGTAGTGGATACAGCCTTTCCGCAACTTCCAATTTGCAGTTTCTTCTTTCTGTGAAGGGGACTCCCCAGCCAGCGCTTTCGCCTAAGGTTACAAACCCTCCCCCACCGCACAATTTTGTGGGAAAGATGACCCTCCCCGCCTTCTAGAGAGCTTGCTCTGTGACAGGCGAAGCAGCAGCCACGGGTTTTTTAAAGAGGCCGCTCTTCCCAGCCTTCTTTTTTATCACCCGAGGGGAGAGAAAACAGCAGAAATTTAACACCGTTTACTACTATTATTGCATCTGGAACACTTACCCTCTAAAATGTTGCTAAATAAGTAAATTCACTGTGAATAGTTAAGGTGCAAGCTGAAAAAGGGAGAGAGCTGGGGCGCGGAGGAAAGGAGGAAATGGAGGAGGGAAGACCCCAAATCCGGGTTTGAACTTCGGGTTTAAATCCGGCGGCGGGCCGCCAGCAGTGGCCACCCCCGCCTCCGGCGTCTTAGCGCGCCTCTGAGGAGCGAGGGACTGGAAGAGGGGGGCTGCGAGCCGGGACCCAGGAAGGGCCAAAGGGACACGAGGGCGGCTGCGCGCAGGGAGCGCGCGGGGCAGGGCTGCTCGCGCTTGCGGGTCGGACTCGCAGCTCGGCTTCCTATCGGCCGGGCCAAGCCTCTCTGCAGCTGACATCATTGCCAGAAGGAGGGGCTGCCCCTGCCAAGGCGACTGAAGAACAGGGTTCTCGGGCCTGGTAGGCAAAGGCGCTCCCTCGCCGCTTGGCGAGCGTGGCGCCCTGGCAGCTGCAGCGGGACTCAGCTTTTGGGAACTGCACGCGCAATTCTTAATTTAGTCGAGGGAGAAAGGTATCTTTAGACCTTAGCGCATCCATCTCTCGGTTCTTTCCTCAAAACCGCCCGCACACCGTCCGCGCTCTATGATGAACCAGACAAAGGCAAGAAAGGGGGAAACGTGTACATACACTATTACTTCGACTTGCTTCCAATTGCTTCCCCACCCCCATCCCTGCCGCGACACACACACATACACGCATACACACACACACACAGACCCACAGAGGAAAGGCCAGCCCTGGCGCTGGAATTTCCTGCTGGGATTGCGAGAGTTTGTTTCAAACAAGATTAAAAGTGGAATTCCGTCAGTCTTTACCAAGTTGCGCGGGTGCCCGCAAGTACCGTTTCCTTTTCTATTTTGAGTCACACCTGTTTTACTTTTTAGCGGGCCTAAGAAGACGGTCGCTTTAAGTCACAAAGCACCGCTATGTTCTCAGGTGTTGTGCTCAGCGTTCGGAATTCTCTGCATGCTCTTCAGGTTGTTTCCTGGTTGCAGCGCTAAGAGCGCACAGGCGACTGCTATGACACCATCGCCTCCTCCCCATCTTTGCTGACCCCCTCCCCCTTCTACCCGGATTTTCAACCAGTTTCTTCCACACACTTTTCTTCGTACAAACAGATCCTAAGCTGGATTTAAATCCCATTTTGTGATGTTTCCACACAAGAAAAGGACACTTTAAAATTTTTTATTTTGTTTGTTGTTGAGCTTTCTTTTTCTTTTGTCCTAGCCCCTCTTCCCCCACGGTTTCTGCTTTGTGGGTGTGTGCCGCAGTGGCGCAAATAACAATTCCCAGCCCCCAGCCCCCATTTTGCATCGGAGAGGCTAGGGCTCACCCATAAGCGCTTCACATGAGCAGCCTAGCGCCCCACACCCTAAGCCGCAGGCGGGTGAAGCAGAGGAACGCGGAATAAATCATTCTGAAGCAAAAGGGCCCATCTTCGGTTAAGCTCTAAAAGTCTTTCCTTGGGAGAGGCAAGGAAGCGGCTCTGGCTATACACTCTGAGAAAGTGACCTCTCCTCCTACCCCTCAGTCCCTTTGCGACTAAGCGCTCAGACGCAAGTCCCAGCTGCAACCCGGGCGGACTGCCGCTCCGCTCTTCTAAAGTCTAAAAAATGCACCCGTTTGCGGCTGCTCGCTTTTAAAAAGTCACATTTTCCGATGAATCTCTTTTAAAAGGTACATTACTTTTCTCGGGGAAAAAAAAAAAGCCGTTTTATTGGCACGCGCTTTAAGAAAAAGAATTCCTTTGTGAAGACGTGAACTGTTTCTCGGTTCTCTCTCAGAAAACACCATCTATTTATGGGATAAGTGGGCGGTTTATTGATTTATTTATTTGGCCAAGGGATAACAAGTCATTTCTTTAGAGAAAGGGGAACCCTTTTATGTCTGGCAATACTCTTAGAAAAGTCATTGTTTTAAAAATGAGAAAATGATGCCGTTTTCCGGCTAGATTATAAGTTGGTTTTTAAAAAAATAGGAAGTATTTCTCACACCTACCATCTCCACATCCAGCAGGTGCTGGCTGAGTATAGCCCCATAAATAGGGCGGGAAGGAAGGGCGGGGAGGCGAGCGCCAAGAGAAACAGCACCGGGAACCCTGTGCGCTCCTGGCTCTCCTGGCTCTCCGCTCTGCGCCAAGGGTCGTACCCTGAAGGGTTGGAGCCAGCCTGGCAGGGATCCAAACCCGAGCCCCCAGAGGAGCGCAGCGAGGCCGGGGACAATTTCTCGGCTAGAGGCATCGCCCCTCAGCTCCGATCGCTCTGCCGGGCGACTCGGGAGTCCGGAACGTGCTCTTTTGTCAACACCCGCCCCAATCTTAGAGTTTCCCTCAGCCTCACTGAAGCTGGCTGCACCCATTAAAGGGAGAGACCTTTTTGCACAGCCAATGTCGGGGAAATTCATGCGCCGACACATTTCTGACACAAGTGAGAGTTTTCCCAAAGTAACCAAGCGCAGCGGTGGCAGTGCCAAAAAGATATTCTCCCTGCGCTCTCCTCCGGGGTTTGCTCTTTCTCTTACCTCCTGGGAAGAGAAGGGGGAAGGGAGAATAGCAGAAGCGTCTTTAAAACCACCCGGTTGTCATAGTTCAGACCTCAGGGGCAGGCAGCGGGCAGTGTCCGCGCACTAAGTGTGGAACTCACGCCTCCCTGGCAGCACCCTGTACAGATACCCAGTCCGGTTACTTACCTATTAACGATGCCTTTAGAGTAGAATGAAGAGGTAAAACGAAAAGGAGAAAAAAAGGCTTCCGCCCGCTCCACGGAGACTGCGACTGCTGTAGCGGGCTCTACCGCCACAGCTCGCAGTCCGCAGAGCAGCCGGAGTCGCTGAGGTTGCTTTCTGAGGCTATTCAGGCAGCCCGGGCTGCCTGTACTGCCTGTATCGCCGCTGGCTCTGCCACTCTGCGCACTCTGTTTGGCTTGCCTTCCGCTTTGCCGCGCGGGCAGCTGAGTGCAGCTCCTGCTCACGGTTCCTCCCGCCCCGACAGTTCGCCGACTGCAAGGAGCCAGTGCCGAGCCAGTCCTTTTGAATGGCGAGGGGGAGGGACTTAACAGAGGGGGAGAAAGGGGAAGGAAGGGGGGTGAACCAGGGGAAGGCGTGGGAAGAGAAGTGAACCAGTGTCCGGGCCGCCTGCTGGGAAGGGATGGCGCAGCACCAACTGCTGAGTACCCCCCTCTGGTCCCCACTCCCTGCACCTCACATCCCCCATCCATCCGGGGGCGGCCCCTCCCCGCTGACGGAAAACCAGAAAGAAGGGCGGGGGAGAGATGGAGGTAAGCTTAGGAAGTTACTGCTCGCCTCCTGGAGAAGGAGGCCGAATGCGTGCTGGCGGCACTCTCCCGTGCGGGACCCGCTGCTGGAGAAAACGCGCCGCTTTCGGGCTGCTAGCTTTCCTGAGCAAAACCCAGGGCATGCAGTGTTCTCCTCGGTCCTCTGCTCGCTGTTCTCTTAGGCTTCCCTTTAAGTTTCACTCATTCACATTTTCTCAGAGAAGTTTGATTTTTCTTGTGTGTTTTTCTTGTGATCCCGCGGGCTGCCCTGACTCCAGCTAGAGGACAAGCATCCTATAGCACCATTTTCTCATACAAAGGATACTTAAGGCAGACTAGGGGAAGTAGGGGCAGGAGCCTGGCAAAGTCACAGTTGGAGCTGAGAGGGCTGAGAGGCTGTCTGCATGTATCTTACTCAACTGTGAGCGGGATCTGGTACTTCGATCGCCTTTCCAGATTAATCCTCTGACAGCAGCGAAGGTGTGTGTGTGTGTGTGTGTGTGTGTGTGTGTGTGTGTGTGAGAGAGAGAGAGAGAGAGAGAGAGAGAGAGAGAGAGAGAAGGAGAAGTTCTAGCGACCTAGCATTTGGCTACCCCAGAGAGCAAGAAGTGAGTCAGGTGGCATTGCTGCCAGAGACCAGGCAGCGTCGCGGGCGTGGACGGCGCTTTTCCAAGGTAGGAAAGGGTGCAAGAGAGGGAAGAAGCCAGCCCGGAGCCTCATGCCTGGTGCTTACCAGCGAGCTCTGGCTGCCTGGTGGGCGACGGCTGGGTGGGCATTGGGGTGCCAGGTCCCCAAGGACCACTAAAGCTACCAGGAGGTATGTGGCTGGTATATGCCTTCGAAGGGTCGTGGGTATAAGGAAGTGGGGCCAATTCCCCCGTTCCTGGCATGTGATTAAAAAACCAATAGTAACAACATCAAAACCACCCCAGCTGGTCAAGGAACAACTCCTTAAATTTACCCAGGGGCCAGAGAATGAACCAGGTGAATTTTCTAAATTCCTCTCTCCAGAAAGGTGTACGATTTTATGGGGAAAATCCACTTTCCGTGCTTATCTTGTAGAAAAACTTATCTTTCTGGTGTTGTGCAATTTTTTTTAAAGGAGGTGGCTCTTTTTCCTGAAACAAAAGGAGAAAAAGTAGAGAATGTTTTAGAGCACCAAGAACCCAGTATCCATTTTTTATTTTTTAGTCTACTGAATGGGAGAGGAGATGACATCTGCATAGAGATAGAACACCAAAAAGGAAAAAAAAAATTCGGAATTATAAGAAGTTGCTTTTTTCTAATAGCTTCTTCAGGGAAAGTTTTTTTTTTAACTGAAAGGCAAATCTTTATGACTTGTTTTCCCACTACATCCTTCTCCATCTTCTTAACTGCCTCCTTTCCAATTCCTGATATTTTAAAGGTTAAAACCTTGGTTCAAATATCCCTCACGACACTTTTTTGCGTATTTTTATACCCAAAGCCATACTACTAGGAGAAACATCAGCACCGCAGCTCAATGCAGGTCTGCATGAAAGAAAACAAAGAAATGTTTACTTGCACAGGTGTGAGGAGACACTTCACTATTACATTTTGCTCCTCCTGTAACTGTCCCTCCATTATTCACAGTATCCAGCACATGCATTGTACTCTTCTTGGGAGCTAGGAAATGTCTGAGAGGGGAAATCAGAGGCTGCTAAATGGTTACAGCTCTGACTCTTGGGGATTGCACTACTGGATGAGACTGTGTCATGGGAGATGGCAGGAACTCAATGCAAATAAAATCACTGATTGATCCAGGGACAGTGTGGCAAGGCATGCTATGGGAGTGCTTTCAGAATACTAATAATTACTCATAACATCCACATTAGATACCAATTAATTGATTTCTGAAGATTTCCATTTAATCCCTCGGCAGGAGAAGATAACTATTTCATCACCGTTTAAAGTATTTAAAGTTATGATCATGACAGACTTATGAGATTAATACTATTATTCCATTTTGCAATTCCTGACACTGAAGTTCATAGAGGACAATTGATTTGCACAAGACCATGGCACTAAAGAGTAATAGACTCTAGATTTCTATTCAGGGTATATAACTCATAAATTCAGCTACATGGTTACTTTATAGTTAATCTGAATTCTTCTACATATAATATGGAGCAGGGCATTTAGTTTTAGGTGTATAGTCCAATAGAAAATGATCTGTATAGATTAGAAACATTACTTACAGACCAAGGAGACTCTGCTAGTTGAACTAAGTAATCCAGAAAATTACCTAAGAAATTGAGTCTGTTGAAAAGACTGACAGAAATCCACATCTGAAAATAATGAAAAATTTCCCCCATTTTCTTTTCTCCTGTGTTCTGTCTGATGGTGGCACCAATGAGCAACAGAATAACCGAAAGCCACCTGGCAAAAAGCTCTAGGCATTGTAACTCTAAAAGGACTGAAGAAGACCCTTTTCTGACTACAGACAGAAGAACTCCCCGTTACTGAATGTTTTTTATGTACCATCTGCATTATATAAATTGTCCTATTAATCCTCCAATCCATTCTGTGAGGTAGGTATTATTAGCTTCATGTTTTCCTTAACAAATGAGAAAACAGAGACTCAGTCAAAATGCCCAAGGTATTATAGCTCTAAAATACACGGAAATTCCAACCCATGTTACGTCCAGTCCATTGTGCTGCCACTCAGCATATAGTCTTCAGATTGTGTAGTGACACATTTTCAGAATGTGCATTACATCAAAAATTTTATGACTAACAGAAGTCCTCAAAAGCAAAAAGGGCACTGTGGGAATCTGGTTTTTGGATGAGGTGTCAGGAAGGAACTGTAATATTTATTGCATTTTTTTTTCCTTCAGTGTTCCCATTAGGAACCTAGATCAGGGTTCTGCTATGATCATAAAAGGGAAATTATGGTAATGTATACCCCACAAACATGGAAATATGCCTATTCTCTGAGGGGAAAACTCTAAAGCCATTATGATTATATAATGGATCAAAGAAGAGTTTTCAAAAACATCAGTGAGTAAGGATGTTTCTCAGGCCTGTAAGAATTGATTAAAACCAAGAAATAACATGCCCATATAAAAAAGGATTGATCAGCCATAGAATTGCAGTGAAAGAAGACTCAGAGAGATGAGCCTTGGCAACACCTATTCATGTACATTTTCATTTCTCTGGCAAAATCACCCTTGATATGAGACTGATGAAGCCAATCAAATATTGTTATTTCAATTCCCCTTGCATGAAACATCGCTTATCAAGCAATCTGTCATCTCATTGTGATCTGTCTTTCCATATAGTCTCTGTTCAGAGAGAGAATGCACAGGTCATGCAGACAGACGACAACAGAGTAATTTGTATTTATCATATGACAGTTATTTCATACTGAATTCCATTCTTTTTTGTGTTGTACATCACAAATTGCACTATACATTGCACAGAAATGTTATAAGCAATGAATCATCATTGCTATTGGGAAAGTAGATTGGTGTGTGGGAATGAAACAGAAAGACTGGAGAAAACACATTCTCCAGGATATTTTTACTGTTTAATATTAAACCATCAGCAACAATTGCATTCAGTAGGAGGGAGTGATGCTCAGTAGTTAAGAAAAAACCTTTGGTTTTTGACCAAATTTGGAGTCCTGGCTCTGCCATGTTCTAGCTGTCTGGCTGTGAAGAAATTAATCTCTAGACCTGTATTGTCCAATAAGATAACCACTACCCACATGCTACTGAGCACATTAAATGTGACTTGCCCTAGTCGACATATGCTTCAAGTGTAAAGTACACACCCAATTTTCAAGGTATATCACATAAACACACATACACACACACACACATGCATACATACACATATGTAAAATATATTGACCAGGTGCCATGGCTCAGGCCTGTAATCCCAACACTTTGGAGGACCAGGGTAGGAGAATTGCTTGAGCTCAGGAGTTCTAGACCAGCTTGGGCAACATAGTGAGACCTCATCTATACTAAAAATAAAAAATTCACCAGGTGTGGCAGTGGACACCTGTAGTCCCTGCTACTGAGGTAGCTGAGATGGGAGCATTACTTAGGTCCAGGACTCGAAGGCTGCAGTGAGCTATGATTGTGATATTTTACTCTAGCCTAGGCAACAGAGCAAGATCCTGTCTCAATATATAATATAATATAACATTATCATTGCATATCAGTTACAGGATGAAGTAATATATTGAGTCATTGGTTCAACAAATATATTATTAAATTAATTTCAACTGTGTATTTTTAATATTTTTAGAAAATTTCAAATTACATGTGTGGCTTGTATTACATAATTTTTTTGGACATTTTAGGACAGAGCTGTCCTAAAATGCTACAGTTCCTTCATTTAAAATTGGGGATAATAACCTTATCCACCTCAAAATATTATAATGATATTTAAATAAGGTAATTCACCTAATATGCTCAGCACAATGTCTAACATAAAGCTAAAAGGTTGTCACTCTCCAAGACATGAAAAATAAAGATGTTAAGGAAAATTAAAAGATAACTTAAACCTCAAAGGGATAGAGACTGCTTAAAGCAAAAACCTTAGTTAGGAACTCATTTCTCTTTTTCCCAAGTGAAATCATTCTGCTTCTCTCTTTAAAAGCAACAGCAAACATTCATGTGCAGTCATACGGGTAGGGGATAATACTGTGACCTACAAATATTATAGTGTATATGCAAATGATTTGAGAAGTTAAAAGTACTTTCTCAATTCCAAGCATTTTTACTATCATAATTTGTACAGTCAGTTTTACATTTAATTGGTAGATATTTCTAGTGTTCAGGCATTCACATCACAAGTGATAATAAGGCTGAAACTGGTACAGGTACACAAAAGACAAATGAATTTCTTCAGGTGCTAAAGATAGAGAAACGGGAGAAGGTCTGCTAGCTGCAGAGCTCTATGCTGTCGGTAGTTTAACTGCTTTACCTAGCAGCTCACCAAATGCATAGCTCAGCTGGAG